TATATATATATATATATATATATATACACCCACACACACACACATCTATATATATACACACACACACATACACACACACAAACATATAGGGCTGAGTTATTGCCCGAATAAAAAAAAGCGTGATGACTTGCGAACTCACAATCCACTCATCATTTTTCAAAACCAAGATCACCAATCTTCTCCAAATGGTACGTCCAAGACATATCTAGGATAAAGAAAAAGATTTGACAATTTTTTTTATTCATTTTCGAAATTTACATGTATGCACAATCAGCAGTAATACAGACTGTTGATTGTGCTCTTAAGCAGTCATATAACTGTTGATTGTGCTAATCAGCAGTCCATGTGAATGACGACTGTGCATAAAATCCACATTTCCAAAAAAACCAAAAAAAACGTGATATCTTTTTTTGAGCCTAGATATGGCTTAAAACTCCAGTTGGAGAAGATTGGTATTTTTGGTTTTGGAAAATGATGAGCTGATTATGAGTTCACAAATTCTCACAAATCTTTTTGCTCTCAAAAGAACTTGGCTATATATATATATATATATATATATATATATATATATATATATATATATATATATATATATATATATACTTATAGAGAGAGAGAGAGAGCTAGGTTTAAATATAGATAGACAATTCGTATTTGAATGTTTATCAAAATTTGGATCAATCCTTTTAAAAATCAGGATAAGGATATATTGGTATAATAATAATTAGTTATATTTAAAAAATTTACTTATTTAAATATATAACAAAAAATAAGGCTATGATTATGGAAACAAACCATATTCCCTATCGACTGATTCGTTGTCCACCACCGGGCCGCTACTTTCTCTGCCACCTAAAACTCTTCAAATATTCCTTCGATAGTCCTATATCGCTTTCCTTATTATATCGATTCCCATCTTTGTTTACCATGACATCCCATAAAAATCATCTCTCACTCATGACTCTAAATTGTAGATGTCATATCAGGACGCTTGACATGTCTACCCAGGCCCGACCCAATAGGGATGCATGTTGGGCGACGGCCCCGGGGCCACGCTACGATTTGAGGCCCTAAAATTATTTCTGGTTTACAAATGTTTAATTATTTGAGTTGATTACGTCGATTGTAGGCGTTTCATTTAATATTATATATCCAATGTTCAAATCTCGTTATCTGCCCTTTTTTCTTTATTACTCTTTTTTATCAGTTAGAGGTGCCCCTTTTTTCTTATAAATTTTTTTTATCATAAATAAATGTATAAGCGAGTTTATTGAGATAGAATCCAAAATTATATTGAACTTTATTAAGAAGCTCCTCAACATCTAGCGCGAGGAAACCAAGCTATCAAACACGAATGGTATAACAATGTGTAGATTATCCATGCACAATTTTTTATTCTTTGTGATTTTGTTTGAAGCAACTTTTAAAGTAGTTTTCCCCGCTTTGAAACCCCCAAACCTTAAGCGCACTAGTGGCGAAACTCATGTTAGGTCCACACATTCGTGTTTCCCTCCAACTAATCCAAATACCAAAACGTGAGTTGATCTAAGGGTTGACATTCATTCCGACAGGTTAGAGAAGAAATTTACACTTGTCTCTTTCTTGGGAGAAACCTGAACGCACTTAAATATGTCAAACAAAACATCCTTAACAATGTCTTTTCAGTACTTGAATTACTAGAGTTCTCTACAATGAACCACATACTCGCCAAAACTATTCAAGCGTGCCTTGCGACACACCAGACATATCTCATCAACTAGAAATATTAGAATCATGAATCGGTATGGTAAGATAATACAATACTCCATTTCATTTATATACTGGAAAATATCATCTACAGGGATAACTAGAAAAAAATCATAAGCTTGTGGTGCTCGTAGACACTCAAAAATTACTTTTTATCAAACAATCATGTTGAAATGCACTTCCATGTCTTGTACAAATTTACTAAAAAGGCATTTGCTTGTGTATGTTGGGATTTAGGGGGTGCTGTTGTTTTTAGTGAAGCTGCTAACGTTGAAGCTTGGAAGTGTAGTACAAAGAGAAGCCAAGGCACAAGTATAATCAGAATACATACCATATATACCACCATCCCGTAGATATGGTCTAGTAACACCCATGATTGGAACCTTGAGGCAAAAAAGCATATGGGGTAGCATCTACTATCGATTACGATACCAAACCACAAAACCTAATAGGAAATGAAGCAAGTCACCAATGTATGTCAGCAATGAAGGGGCCTCCACAAACCACAATGTTCTCAATCTACCAGTGTATGAATTTGTTGAAGAAAAACATCACCTCTTCCACGTCAATAATTTGGCTCGTTGTCAAGTCAAAGAAAAAAGTTTTGCAATACCCATACGAGAACGAAGAAACATGAGCTCACTTTGGGGGTCAGATTACTATGGGAAAAGCGACATCAAATTCACAACCTCTGCGACTCTTTTCATGGAAAATCTTCTAATAAAACTTGTGTCCCTACTAATAGCTCCCCAAATAAGCTTCTCCCAAAAGCACAACCTCCCAATGTCAAAAGGGATTAACCCCTCACAAAGCTTCATGTCATCACATGAGGACAAAAGATCTTGGTTTTCTTGATATTCGGTTGAAGGCCCAATTCTAGACCAATCACGTTAATTATGTCCAAAATTTGGCTACCTCCACTTAATCTCCAATAAGGGTTGCATCATTGAGGAAACACGAAGAAAAAGCTTGTAATTGTCTCTAATTTTATGCAAAAGCGGGTGTAGTACAAGAGAAAAAAGAAGTGAACCCAAGGAGTCGGCTTGTTGAAACCTAGTGCTGGACCAAATATGTATGTCATCTAAAGACAACATTGTTGCTTGTCCATTTGACAATTCTACCCACAAGGATATCGAAGGGCACCTTAATCTGACTTAATGAGGTAATGCAGATCTATCCACCATAATAAATGCATTCGAGAAGTCTAAGGTAAGCATTGAAAGAGATCCATCACCATGAAACTCACTCAACACCCTGTTGAAGCTATGTAATATGACTCCAGCGCCACCGAAAACCCGTAGCCTAAACTGAAAATCATTGAGGTATTTGGCCATATCTTTACGAACACCTTTCATAGCCAACTTGGAAACCAGACGCCTCCATATAGTGCCTACTTAAATAGGGTTGATTCCATTGTATGGTTTTAAGAGCGGCGTAAGAGGAACAAAGGCAACAAATTCGGATAACCTTGATATATATCTTCCCCTAGCCACAATTTAGCAACTAGAGTGATTGCATGTAAGAGGTTTGTGGCTACAATCGAACATTCTCTATATAGAGCATCCAAAATGTGTTTTGCTTTCAAACCATCTCATAAAATATGTTAAAAGGCATGTATGGTGGTGGTTTGTATATATGTTTATCCCCAAAGAACATAACACTTTCACTGTTGCTATAAAATACCCATCTGCAACCATACAGAGACATTGCCACACATTGGTGCTGCTCATTGTTCTTTCCTCCTGAATGTAATCTTATTTTTTTTCCTAGTTGCTCCAATTGTGTATTTTCTAGCAAGTTTTTAACTAACTTGGTTATATCGCCTTTTGTCCCCCAAGTAGCTAATACAGTCTAAATATAGCGATGTTGTAAGAACTTCCTATTCCCAGATCTACTTTCCATGTAGCTAATGCAGTATGGATATAGCGATGCCCAAGATTGTTTTAAAATCCTGACAGAAAGCCATACGATAGTTATGCAGGGTACTTTTGATTGTGGTACTAGGTAGCTTAAAAACACAATCCAGGAGCTCAACATCCAATAGCAACCCCTCATTCACATCAACCTTTGTGGTATCAACTCTTTGTATGGAGAGACCCCCGAAGAACATAACACTTTCACTGTTGTTGTAAAATACCCATCCACAACCATACAAACACATTGTCTGACATTAGTGCTTCCCATTTTTCTTTCCTCCTGAATGGAATCATATTTTTTTGCCTAGTTGCTCCAATTGTATATTGTCTAGCAAGTTTTTAACTAACTTGGTTATATCTTCTTCTGTCCCTAGTAGCTAATGCAGTCTGGATATAGTGATGTTCCAAGGACTTCCTATTCCCATACTTACTTTCCACGTAGCTAATGCAATCTGGATATAGCGATGTACAAGATTGTTTTAAAATCCTGAAAGAAAGCCATACGACAGTTATGCGGGGTACTTTTGATTGTGGTGCTAGGTAGTTTAAAAACACAATCAAGGAGCTTAACATCAAATAGAAACCCCTCATTCACATTGGTTGTTGGTTCCTTGGCAGACGGCTTTCAATTTATTAAAATTTAACAAACTTACAATTTAGGGTCTCCGACTAGTCGTCAACTAATCCCCAACTAGGCCGACAATTCTTAGTCGTTAGTCGACCGATTTAGTACCACCTAATGACTTTTATAACCTTGAGTATCAGTAATAAAATTACGCAATATTATAAGTTGTTCATTTAACCATACAAACCGCATGCACCGCACTGCATAACATAGTTTAGAGATTTCATGGTGCGGTTTTTGAAAAACTCAAACACATATGTCGTGCAGTTTGCGGGTTTGACTATATACCGCACCACACCACACCACGAAAACCCTAAACCAAGCTAGGGACAAAATCTGAAATAAAAATTTGCTGTAGAGACCGCTGGTTTCAAAAATCAAAAAATAGAACTAAAACCGTAGATTTTTGACAATGACCAAAACTATAATTTACTCCTTAATTTCTTTTTTCTTATCTTTCCACGGAAAAATTATAATTGCTTTTATTCATTTTTAATCTAAACTATTTTATTCATGTGTTTTAAAATTCTTTCTCATTACACCGACGTGAGTACGTGACGACATTTTCTTTGAAATTTATTATACACTAATGAAAAGTCACCCCCACCCCAGACACACAGTATATATATATATGTAAATATGTATTCATGGTTTAAAGGGAACTCAATACATTCTTTTTCACAACCAAACAACACACACATACCAGGACATCGATGGTTCTGTATATAGGTTTCAATGAAACGGGTTTTCCTAAATGGTTTATATACTTATGTTTTGTTTTATGCTCCATTCAAAACATTGTTCTATGTCTTTTTCGTGTCACTGGCATCTTTAGTTTTGTTGAATACCACGATCGTGATCATCAAAAACAATTTGAAAGGAGTCATGTTTCAGCGGTGTTGACTCGTGAGCTCCTTGTGGTCACAACCTTCAAAGACATACAGAGGAAAGATTTGCCCGAAAGATGTGCAGTCTGCTTGAACGACTTTGTGGGAGATGACAAGATTAGATGCTTGCAAAATTGTACGCATATTTTCCATCTGGGTTGTTTGGATCGTTGGATGGGTCAGGTCCAAGGCACGTGTCCGATTTGCCGAACTCCAATTTTACCGTATGCATGTCAAGAAGAATACAATAAACGACTCAAGATTGCCAATCGTCTTCACAATTGATGTGGTAAAGTCCTACTAATTAATTCCGAGTTTGTGATTTTCTTTTGATATCTCTCTTGATTAGAATGGCTCATTTTTTTTTCTTGTAAAAGCTACTTTATATTTGTTGAAAAATACAATCGATGAAAGAGCAATTCAGATATGTAACTTTCTTCTTTTATATGAGTTTAATGCAAAATGATTGAATCCGAACTGATATAATGTTAGAAATTAGGGTCAGGATATCAATAAATTTTTGATGATTTCAGGGATCCTATGTGAAACACTTTCAAAACTATGTAATTTCAACCCTATTACGTGGAGTACCACCGAATCAGATTTGGAATCATCGGAGAAACTGTATATGGATTCCAGGCAAAATCCAAAATTCAAAGCACTATATATGTTGGAAAAAATCTTGTTGGAAAAAACAAAATCTGATAAAGTATGATCTACAAAAAACCTATAAGTATATGTATATACGCATGTAGTTAATTTCCTTTACCAGAAAGTGGTGTATGTCTCGAGCAGATGCGACAGTTGGGTTTTGGCAGGAATGTTGCTAATACATCACAAATTTTAAAGTTTTATAAAGAAAAATTATGCAATTACAAAAAAAAAAAAAAAAAAAAAAAAGTATATTGTTTGTGTTAATGTGTAGGGTTAGGGTTTAGGCAAGACCCTTTAGGTTTAAGTATTCACTATGCATAACACGAAGTGAATGTCATGCCTCAACAATACCCACAATAATCTTCGTGAATTCAGCAACCTTCCCCTCACTATATCGTTCTTTTTGAAAAATCCTATCAAACAATTCTCCACCATTACAAAGCTCCATTACACTATGAACATACAAAGTATTTTGATATACACCCCTTATTGTTACAATATTGTTGTGCTATGTTAAATGATGCAGTATTTGAATCTCCCTCCTAAGATCATCCACATCCTCTTTAGAAATCAACTTCCTTTTTTGAAATCGACTTGCATGCGTACGTCGTTTATACTTGTGGAGTTCTATGTGCATAAATAGGTTGTACAAAATTGGCCTTGACCGGGCTTTTGACCAAATGTGTAAAGATCCCGAATTTGGCGTTTTTATAACCAAGAATATTATAAGGCTCGTTGGTGTTGTGGCGGTTCATGGTGGTTTCTTTGAGTAGGAATTCAGAACTGGGATTGAAATTGGGTTTGACTTTGAGGAGTTGTTAGATTTAAAGAAAGAAGGTTTTTTTTTTAGAACTTGATTGGTGTTGGGGATTATTCGAGCTTTGATTGATTCCTCCTATAAAAGTGTTGGTGGTTATAAACAAACAACGACTGTAGACTAAAGTTACTCACACAATAACAACCATATTTTTAGAACGAGATCTACTACTCTAACCTTTTTCTTATTTCACAATAAATCACTTTTTCTCAATTATGTTTTTCTATTCATGTATTACAAACAAATACATATATTTATACTAAGAAAATACTTAAGAACTGAGCAAACTTAATGACTAAGAATGGTAATTAGTGCTAGCTTATTAGTAATCCTATATGGTTCTAAAACATGAGATGTGCCCTTCTAATCATTACTTTTGATAGCCCATTTTTCTTTATCAAATTTTGAAGACTTGGGTTTGACTTCGCATGCCAAACATCTTCACTATTTTCAAAAATCTATCTGTCTTTAAAGGCTTGTTGAAAATATATGCTAGCTGCTCTTCAGCCATGCAATACAATAGCTCAAGTGCTTTATCTTTCACACATTTTCTTATTAAATGGTACTTTATGTTGTCATGCTTGCTTCGACCGTGTGACGCAAAATTCTTTGAAAGTAAGATAACAAATTCGTTATCAGCATATACTTTAACTAGATCTCCATTTATCAAATATAATTCACTCAAAATATTCAACAACCAAACAGCTTGACATGTGCATGTTGCGGCTGCCATGTATTCCGCTTCACCTGTTGAAGGAACAACAATTTGTTGCTTCTTTGACGGCCATGATAACATGGCTAAACCAATATGAAATGCATATCCATAAGTACTCTTACCATCATCCATATCTCCACCATAATCACTATTTGAATAACTAACCAATTTTCCAATAAAGATGGTAACATCTATATACAAGCACAAAATCATAATATCCCATTCTGGTTTCTTTTTGTATAAAGTGCATGTTCGTATGGACTATTTGCTGGAATATGGTGTCTATATTCACAACAACCGGTAATATTACAATTAATAGTAAGGTCCTTTTAGTTTAAGTTGCAATTAATTGGCTTAGCATTGATCTATGTTTGGTTTATGAGGTTACTGTTTTTTAATGGCTTTCATTATGTACCTTTATGGTCTTTAAATCCCTCATAACACATGAGTTGTATCAGAGACTGTTGTTCACGTCTATTACACTTAGTAGTTTCCTTATTGTTGTAGTAATCAATTTGCAAGTTAATGGTTTTATTAGATCAGTTTATTAGAAGGTTAAAATTGCTTTAAATATATTTGATTAAACCAGAAACCCTAATTTCAAAACAAAGGCAACTCAAACTTATATTTTGCTAAGCTGGGGCTTAGGGCGCTAAATTCTAAAGGGCCATATATTCTCCAAATTTAATTCAATATCAATATATCCAAAATCTCAATTAGTCCATTACTAATTGTATGGATTTTTGTAATACCCTGTTTCCACATTGGATCGATTTATGGCTTCAAGGAGTCAAAGACATGTTTTTAGGTAAAACCAAGGCTCGCGACGTGAGTCATAGAAAGGTCACAATGTGAGGAATGATTAAAAGAAAATGTTAAATTATGTTGAGCTCACAATGTGAGCAATAAGAGCTCACGACGTGAGATGTGTTGCAACCTAAGCCCACGATCTTTTAGGGTTTCCTTCGTATTTAAACCCCATAAACTTCATTTTAGGGTTCCTGAAAAACCTCTTTCGTCCCTAAGCTCAGTAAAACCCTAAACCTACCCTTTACTTGTGATTCTTGAGCTTTTGGTGGAGGTTTGGTGGTTTGAAGAGAAAGAGACTAGCATTGAAGCATAGTTTCAACTTGGAAGTTCCATTTGAAACCTCTAGCTACACATCTGGACCATTATGAGTAACCAAGATCCAAATTTTATGTTTATCTGTTGCTAGATCTAAGGTTTTATGCATATTTATCCATGACTTTAAGAGTTATAGTGTTGGGACTCCATAAAGTTGGCAACTTTATCGGTCCTTAGGGTCCCTTGGTGCTTGTTTGTTATGGATCTGAGTTTTAGATGATGTTTGAGTTCATACAATACAATTTATCTCCTTTTTCTTCATAAATGACCTAGCTTGAGCTCAAGTCTTTTATTGGACATGCAAGATCTTAAAGCATCGATTTTTATGATCCTTGGGGTGTTAGGAAGCCTCTTGGAAAAAGATGGATTAGTGGCTTTGTGGATTAAGAAGGTTTTGGATCAAAATGGCATTCAGACGGATCTCACGACGTGATGAGTTGCATGTCAGATCGTGAGGGTTGTGAGACTCGTCCATTTTTTCCTGTAGTGGCTCACGACATGTGAAACAAATGGTCATGTCGTGAGGGTTTGTTGATTGTTGACTTCCGTTGACCGTTGAGTTTTTGACCAAGTTTGACTTTGGGTCAAACTTGAGGATTTTGGGCTATTCATTGAGATTTTATCTGGTTCTGGTGTTAGTGGATTAGAGGGAGCAAGCAGTATTGAAAAAAAGATTGTATCGCAAGGTTTAGAGCTCTTCAATTCATGTGAGTTTCACCTCATTGTACCATAGGTCGAAGGCACAAATGTCGGCCCACTATTTCTAGTTATCTTTAGTAGCGGGACGTCTAAGGGACCATATATAGTCATGTAGGATAGACTTATGACTCTTGATCTAGGCTTTCTTGCATTTTCATTGTTTGGTTGTGGTTCTAGAGTAAGATCACTTGTCCGAGTGTCTATCCTACCTCTGAGTATATAAGGTTATGCATTCCTTGGATTGTTGGTATTTAGTATGTTGTTATGTTGTAGTGATCTATTAGATCTGTATCATGGAATATAGGATGTTGCTATGTTATAGTGATCTGTTAGATCTATATCCTGGTATATTGGACATTGCTCTGCGGTAGTGATTTGTAGATTTGTATGTCTACCTATACATTTTGGTTATCATCTAGTGGAGTGCCCTAGGGACTGTATGTGGTCATGTAGGATAGCTTGAGAACTCTTGATATGCACTTTCTTTCCTGTTCCTTGTTTGGTTGTGGCTCTAGAGTAGGATCATCTGTTCGGGTGGCTATCTCACCTATGGTTACTAATGGTTATGCATTTCATGGAGGATAGCTGGTAGCAGGACATTATGTGGTGTGAGGACTAGTCGTTGGTAGTGAGCTGTGTGATTGTTGTTTGCATGTATTATGTTACTACTTAATCCTTGATTATTTATATGTCGACATATGGTGGTAGTGGGTTGAGGCGGTCCTGCTTTGTGATGTAGGCGAACATACTGGGCCGACTGTAAGCCGAAGGAACGGAGACTCATGAGGAGCGGCTGGTTTGAGGTGGTAGGCCAACAAACCCTGGTTTCCAGCCCGATGGCTAATTGGACCTGATGCATGCTTGTATGTTTATCGTATGGGGTATTTTGGGGGAAACTCACTAATCTTTGTGCTTACCCAGTTTTTTATTGTTTCAGGAATCATCGGTCATCATGAGAAGGAGAAGACATCATTGTACACATTCATTAGCAGCAATGAAGATTGCACACTTTAATATCACCCTGATTTTCAATAAACGTATCTGGAATAATCGGGTTTCTTAAAAGGGGAATTACAAATGGGAAGCTCTACTCTAATATAATGAAATTTTTTTTCTTTTTGAAAATGGGACGTTAAAAGTTGGTATCAGAGCCCTGCTTTGAGTGAATTGGAGGAACACTTGTGTGAATCCAGTCTCAAACTAGGATCCGAGAGTTTTTACAAATGTTTTTGAAAAAAGAATTTACAATAAAATAGTTGGTTTCGGGATATGGGC